TCTTGAGACTCACCTTTCCCGTTTGTAAAATGGGAAAACAGGGACCGACCTCAGAGAGGGGAACTACAGTGCTTGATAGCAAAGCCCTGAACGCCGTCCCACACAGTAGCCCTGGGCTCCCATCGCCAGAGGAAAACCCCAGTCACTTTAACTGGTGCCCGGGGCCAGAGGCAGGCGGAGCTCTGAGTCCCGGCTCAGACACTCTGTGACTGGTTCTCTCTGCCTCCATCTGCTCATCTGTAAAATGGGCACAACATCGTGGGACTAATGAGGATGCCACAGGTAATGGGGCCGGCCGCCCTGCAGACGCTCGGCACTCAGTGAGGAGAGACTGCAACCGTCACGGTCCAGAGATGGCCTCCAGCTGGCCGGGACACACCCTGATGGGCACGGCACCTCCAGCAGCAGGCCTTGGACCCCTCAGCTCGCCTGTGGGTGCTGCTTTATCACGGCAGCCCGGGGTCTGTTCTGGCCGCCTTGGGCTAACTTGGTCAAGCAGGGCCCCTCAGCCTGCAGGAGCCAAAGTGGCCCAAACCGATCCTTGGGGGACCATGTGAACTCTTGTCCCCAGCCATAGCGGCTAACCTCCTGGGCGGCAGTCGGAAAAATTAAGCCCTGCCGTGTTGGCCATTGTGAGCCTTTCCTGCTTCGACTGCTTTGGTATAAAGACAAGCATAATCCAGTCTGGACTGTTTCTTTTTCTTACGATTTTATTTTTTTAGATTTTATTTATTTAGTTGACAGAGTTCACAGGTAGGCAGAGAGGCAGGCAGAGAGAGGAAGGGAAGCAGGCTCCCTGCTGAGCAGAGCACCAGATGCGGGGGCTCGATCCCAGGACCCTGAGATCATGACCTGAGCCAACAGCAGAGGCTTTAACGCCCTGAGCCACCCAGGCGCCCCTTTCTCCTGATTTTAAAAGAAATTAAAACATTTCCCTGGGTCGCTGAAAGTATTGTGGCCCCAGGCACTGCGCCCGCCCTACTGGATGAACTCGGTCTGGCCACACCTCCCAGCAAGCTGCCAACCCTCTCTTTTCCTGTAAGGAGGTGCCTGTGGCTTGGCCAAATGACACCCTTACCTCCCCCGGAAGACCCGGGGGAAGGAGACAAGGCAGCTTCCTCCAGCCTCACCCCTACTACACATGGGGCTCAAGGAAATTTCTGCCCCCAAGTGTCTGCTGCATGGCAGGTCCAAAGGGAAGGGGCCGAGAACAAACACTCCAGGCTCCCTGCCCTCCTGAAGCTCACACAACCTACGGGTCAGAGGGGTTCACACTGGAGGTCTGCATGCAGATGCTCCCCCCACTGGTCTTGGAAACTTCCCCTTACAGCTTTCTCCCTCCTGTCCAACTCCACGGACCCCTCCCGAGCCTGGGGAGCAACCACTGTCCCTCCTCTGAGCAGCAGCCGCAGCCCCCAGCTGGCCCCCAGCCCCCCTCTTGTTCCTGCCACTTCCCTCCTCTGCCGAGGACCCTCCAAAGCTCCCACTACTTAGGGTCCTGTCCCAACCTTTTCTCCTGGCCCTGGGGTCAAGCTGACCACCCCACCCTTTCCCACCTTTGTGCCCCTGTCTAGGTCACCCCCGACCCCACCCCCACCCTGGGCAAGTCCACATGTCCGAGTTGGATGGCTCTCCAGTGTCCTGCCAGAAAGCTCTTCCAGAACCCCAAGTCTGGGCCGCCCCCATTCTAAGTGGGCAATGACTTCTGAACTCCATAGCACTAAACACAGAGCCTCTCTTGGGCATTTAGCGTATATACTAAGCATCTCAGGTGGCCAGGTCTGGGCCAAACCCTAGAGGATTCGACACAAGCAAAACCTACCTATAGACTCGGTTGATCTAGGAACAAGGCATGGAAACACCCTCCCAAGCCCCGGAGGATTAACCCCACTTCACAGGCTCAGAGAGGATAGGGAACATCCCAGGGTCACACAGCTGGTCAGCCTTGGAGTCAGGATTCCCATTCAGGCACCCCCAGGATCTGCACTCTTAACCGGTGGGTCATTCAGCTTCCCGTTTCCAAGTGTGATTCAAGTACAGTATATCCTTGTATTTTATTTATGTGTTTACTTAATTACATGAGTAACCCAAATTTATTGCAAAGGAATTGGAAAACACAGAGGAAAAAAAAAAAGCAACTTCCTCTCCCACCGCCTAGAGCAAAGTACTGTCAACACTTCAGTGAGTGTTTGCATGACTTTTTTTTTTTTAAAGATTGTATTTATTTATTTGACAGAGAGAGAGCGACAGAGCATGAGCATGGGGAGAGGGAGGGCCCGAAGGAGAGGGAGAAGCGGACTCCCTGCTGAGCAAGGAGCCCAAGGCGGGGCTCAATCCCAGGACCCTGGGATCATGACCTGAGCTGAAGGCAGACACTTAAGGACTGAGCCACCCAGGTGCCCCTGCATGACTTTTTCTAAGCATATCACACCTATCTTTACAAGAATGCCTTCATGCTACAAATGATTTTATAATTTTTCTTCCCCTTACAATAAATCAGAAGCCCCTTTCTACAGTAACAAACATTTGCTGCCTTGGTTTTCTTAATTGTGAAATGCTCCATACAAGCAGAAATGTATGTAAATAATACTGAAAAAAAAGACACTTGCGTGTCCACCCCCCAGGTTAAGGAACAGGTGAAATGGCCCATGGGCTTCCTGGCATTCTCTCTGCTCCGTTTACCCCCAGGTCACCTCTCATTTAACTTGTGAGTTAAACATGACTTTGCTTTCCTTTAGAAATTTTTTTGAGATTTCATTTATTTATTTGAGAGAGAGAGAGCGCGCGCGCGCACACACAAGCAGGGGGAGGGGCAACGGGAGAGGGAGAAGCAGACTCCCTGCTGAGTAGGGAGCCTGCTGTGAGGCTCAATTCCAAGACGCTGGGAACACGACCTAAGCCCAAGGCAGACGCTTAACCGACTGAGCCACCCAGGCACCCCACTACTTTACTGTGTTTAATTTCCAAGAGATTCTTATTTGCTTTCTAAATGTTCTTTTTAAATATAACTTTCTGTTCATTTTTCATGGATACAGCCAGTTCTCTTACCTCTCTACTATCTGTGATAGTTTTCTTTAAAGAAATTATTTTCTTCTCAGTATCTAAATCCTATGCATTGTGGGTTTTTTGTTTTGTTTTGTTTTCTGTTTGTAAGAGGCTTTCCTCAGATGCTTGGGAATTCTTGGCTGGCTGCTCATGATTAGGAGGGAAGAAAATAAGTCTATGGATGGCATTTGTTGGTTTAGCATCACTGTAAGTTAGAACTTGGGGGGCCATTTGTCTGGGTACTTCCGGGACTGTCAGTGTCTTTCAGATTTCTTCTTGGACTGGTCAGATTCTCCAGGGTCCCTCAGTCACTTGTGTGGAGGATAAGGGTCTAGCTTTGGGTTTCTGGGAGCTTAGTGGGGGAGAACACCCTGCATTCAGTATTCACCTGTTTTGGCGAAGTACCCACATTCACCACTGTCCCTGGCCCGTCCAGCCCTTTCCAGAGCTAAACCCCAGATGTTTGCCAGAATGAGGGAGGGGCACCACTCAGTGGCTAAAGACAGGGGTCTATAGATCTGTTCTTCAAAGATACCTTCAAATAGTCCTCTTTATTTTAACCTTCTTTCACCCTTAGCTCTACAAGTGGCTAGAGCTGCCGGTCCCCAAGCTTTTGAGAAGGCTCTTGTATGGACAGCTCTCCACACTGTCCAGAAGAATTTGGTTGTCCAGGGGGCCTGGGTGGCTCAGTGAGTTAAAGCCTCTGCCTTCAGCTCAGGTCATGATCCCAGGGTCCTGGGATCGAGCCCCACATGGGGCTCTCTGCTTAGCAGGGAGCCTGCTTCCCTTCCTCTCTCTCTGCCTGCCTCTCTGCCTACTTGTGATCTGTCAAATAAATAAATAAAATCTTTTAAAAAGAATAATAATTTGTCAGTCTGGAGTCAGCTAAGTCAGGTAATACTGGTCTTCCGGCTTTTCAGCTTGCAAGGGTTCTTTCCTTTCCTGTTCTCCCAGTCCTTGTGGATTAAGGTCTTTAGAAGGTTCCCCTCCTAAGGATTTATGGGCTTCTGCAGGCATTGTGAGCTCTGCTCATGTCTTAACCTGAGAATCTCCTCCGCGTCTTTGATGACCACAGAGTGGTATAGGTTTGCCGTAACCCGTTTAACGAATCTCCTCTCGTCGAATATAGGGCTTTTCCCCATTTTTTCCTTGTCAAAAGCAAGGCTGCATTGGCTGTTCCGAGAGTTAGGGCTTTGCGCATCCGATTCTTTAACAAACTCACTGAAGTCGCTTTGCTGGTGTAATTCCGTCTAGATCTTTCTCGTTATGAGTGTGTGTTGGGTCGTGGGGGTGTCTGTTGGTCTCCCCGGCCCGCAGCCAGGCTGTCAGGGAACGAGCGAGGAGCAGGTTGGGGGTGAGGGGGTGAGGTCGGAGTTAGCCCCCCGGACCCCGCCTCCCCGCACTGCTCCGAAGCCCGGAACCCGTCTCGGATCCCGCTTCCGTCTCTAACCACCTGCGCCTCAAGTCTTGGAGCCTTCGACCAGGGATGGAGGATAGCGGCAGCCGCCATCGCGCTGCTGTGAGGCATCAAAGAAGCTGATGTCTGAGAAATATCCCGGGCGTTGTCCGGGGGGCGGATACGAACCGGCGGCTTCCGCGGGCCCGTGCGGTTTGCAGGGGAGACGGGGGCAGAGCTGCTCGCTTGCGGACTGCACGGCGCCGCTGAGAAACCAGACGGAGAAGCAACGCGGAACCGTCTCAAACCCGCTCACAGGCGAGGTGGAAAGAGCGAGACACTGAGTTCGCTGTTCGTTCAGGATCTGCGGGAGGACGGCGGAGCGGCGCGCGCTTTCCTCGCTCCTGCGCGGGTTTCCCTACGCGCCTGGGGCCGGAACTCGTCCGCGCGGAACCTTTCTTCCCGCTCCCGGGTGCCGCGGCCCGCCCGGCGGGAAATGCGTCAGGGACCGCGCCGCGCCACCGCCCCCCGGCCTCCGTCGCCCCGGTAACGCGCGGAGGGCCCCGGCCTCACCATGATCCTGCGGGTGGCGCGGGCCGCGTGGTCCCGGGGCTGGGGCGCGGGTTGCCGCCGCGGCGCCGCGGACTTTCCGCTGCCCCCGCCGCGCGCCGTGGACGTGGCGGAGCTGCTGCGAGACGCCACGGCCGCGGAGGAAGAGCCGCGGGAGGCAGCGGCGCGGCGGCCGCCGGGCCAGTGCTCGGTGCTGCTCTTCCCCGGCCAGGGCAGCCAGGTGGTGGGCATGGGCCGGGGGCTGCTCCGCTACCCGCGCGTCCGCGAGCTCTACGCCGCCGCCCGCAGCGTGCTGGGCTACGACCTGCTGGAGCTGAGCCTGCACGGGCCGCAGGAGGCCCTGGACCGCACGGCGCACTGCCAGCCCGCCGTCTTCGTGGCGTCGCTGGCCGCCGTGGAGAAGCTGCATCACCTGCAGCCCGCGGTGAGGCCCGCCGCCCCGCCGCCCGCGGGGGAGGACGCGCTGTGCCCGGGCTCCGGCCTGCCAGGCGCGCGCTCCCGCGTGGGACGCAGCGAGCGGAAGCTTGTCGAGTTCCCGCCGAGGTGGGAGCGGGGGGCGCGGCGCTGGGGCGGCCCGCGCGTTAGGGGAGGGGGTTGGTGAATAAAACACGGAGTGAACGACTGGGCGTGTTCAGTGCGCTGTTGCAGAGCGGAAAACTGCGGGGGAAGCGGCTGAGGAGTCTGGGCTGGACTGCGATTTATTCTGCTTATTTTTTTAAAGTTATTATTATTATTATTATTACTACTACTATTCTCTACACCCACCCTGGGGCCCAAACTCACGACCCCAGATCAAGAGTCGCATGTCCCAGCTACAGAGCCTGGGCTGCGATTTTTAAATTTTTATTTGTGTGTGTGTTTCTTTTTACTTTTTTTTAATTTGAATCCAGTTAATTAACATGTAACGTTTTATCAGTTTCCGAGGTAGAGTTAGTGATTCCGCAGGTGCAAATAAAACACCCTGTGCTTGTTCCATCAGTGCCCTCCTTATGCCGTTCGATTTTATTTATTTGACCGACAGAGATCACACGTAGGCAGAGAGGCAGGCAGAGAGGGGGAAGCAGGCTCCCCACTGAGCAGAGAGCCGGCTTCGGCTTCGGGGCTGGATCCCAGGACCCTGAGATCATGACCTGAGCCAAAGGCAGAGGCTTTCACCCACGGAGCCACCCAGGCGCCCCGCCCCTGAACGATTTTAAATGATCCTCAGTCATTTGTTACTAAATGATTTTAGAAGGATGAACTCCAACCTTGAATGAGGGCCCATTAAGAGGATGGTGTGACTATGTCACTGCACTTGAAGGTGCGAATTGGTGGCTGTTAAATCATTTGATAATATCAGAACAGTAAACGTGAAGCTTCTGCTGTGAACCCTGCACTCCATTCTCACAACCGCGTTGGGGAAACGCAGTTACTTTGTGGGTGAGGCAAGGAGACTCGGACACGTAATAGAATTAGTGAAGTGGTGGTCGTGGCATTCACGGAGCCCTTACCCTCGGCCAGGTCTGTGCTTAAGCGCTTGAGAGACATTATTTTGGTGTCAAACCAGGAGCCCTGTGAGGTAGGTCCTGCCCTTTCCCCATCCCGCAGATGGACAGCCGAGGCTCGAAGTTAGGGAACTTTGCCAAGCTAAGAATCAAATTCAAGAGACTGAGTCACTCCTCTGCGTACCTCCCTCCGGCTCCCTCGGCCTGAGAGGCATCTCCAGGGCAGAGACAGAAGGATCCAGAGCCCTGGGTTGGAGACAGGGCTCCACCAGAATCAGGCAGCGGGCTTTAACTCGCCAGCAAAGTTCCTCATCAGTAAAAGCGCTGGTTCAGGGCTTGTCAAGGCCACTTCTGTTTGTGTCCTTTCCTAGCCAAAGCACCAGGCTGGTGGCTCCCTACTCCTGGCTCCTTGAGCCTCTGAACACCCTGCCGGCTTGCAGTGCAGAGCCCCAGACCGAACCCCCTCCCCCACCCCTAGACCTTGGCCTCATGTCCTGCATCTGTCACTACAGGTGATTGAGAACTGTGTTGCTGCTGCTGGATTCAGTGTGGGAGAATTTGCAGCCCTAGTGTTTGCTGGAGCCATGGAATTTTCTGAAGGTACACAGGAAGGGGTTTGGTTTGGTGCCGGGGTGTTTTCTTGCTGGGTTCACTGGGGACTAAGGACACTGCCAAAAATAATTCTGGAGCCACTCAGGTGGTGGAGAAGGGAGCACATGGGTGAAAATGATGTTGGAAGGACCAGACTTCACCTTGAATCCCTTTTAAGCCTGAAGGGTTCCTCGGGGATTTTCTTTTTGTAATCTCCTGAACTCTGCTTGCTTGACTGTCCCCCACCCTGTCCTGGGTGCTCTCAGTCCACTCCCACAGCACCAGTGCCTGTCACGTGACAGATGGCCAGCAGATAGTCATGGAGTGAAAAAGGAAATGAACGTTTGATCATGAACATACTAGTTTCACTTAAGATTTTTGCTCATAGTGAAACCAGTTAAACTGTTTTGCTTATGGTTAAATACGAGCAAAGGATGTGAACAGACCTTTCTCCAAAGAAGATATACAGAAACGGCCAACAGGCATGCGAAGAGCTAGAGATATTCAGCATTACTAATCATTAGGGACGTGCAGATCAAAACCACACCTTATACCCACTAGGGTGGCTTCAATTAAAAAATATATAACAAGAATAATAATAAGTGTTGGCAAGAATGTGAACAAATCGGACCCTCAGGGACACCTGGGTGGCTCCGTCGGTTAAGCCTCTGCCTTCAGCTCAGGTCATGATCCCAGGGTCCTGGGATCGAGTCCCGCATCAGGCTCCTTCCTCAGCAGAGAGCCTGCTTCTCTCTTTCACTCTCCCTTTGTGTTCTCCCCCACCCCAAATAAATAAATAAAAAGCTTACAAAGGAAAGAAAACATAGGACCTGCAGACGTGGCTAGAGAGAGTGTAAAATGGTGCAGCCACTGTGGAAACCAGTTTGACGGTTCAAGCCGTTGCACACAGAACTACTGTACGGCCCAGTGGTTCTGCAGGAATATGCCTAAGAAATAAAAACGTACGTCCACACAGAAAAACCTCTGCATAAACATTCCCAACAGTATTCAAAATAGCTCCAAGATGGACACAGCCCAGATGCCCCTCATCAGAACAAATCGTGCTCGGTCCGTGCAATGAGTGTCCTTTAGCCGTAACAGGGATAAAGGGCTGATACTACCCCATCCACCACCTACATGAGCCTTCAAAGCCTGCTCGGTGAGAGAGGAGGCCCCTTTTGTGTGAAATGTCCAGAATGTGCAAATCCAGAGATAGCAGCTAGAGGTTCCAGGGGTGGAGGGCAGAGGAGAGGAGAGATGGGAGTGATAAGGGGTGTTTTATGGAGGGAGAGAAAGCTTTGAAACTAGAGCAAGCTGGTGGTTTACCAGTGAACTACATATTTGAAACATTGTATTTTATGTATTTATTTTACTTCAGTGTTTTATCTTTTTTTACTTTGGTGTTTTTAAAATAACAGCATTATAGCACCGTTAAGGAAATGCTAAAAAATGCTGCATATGCATATCTCCGAATAAAACTGTTTTATACACACATAGTTTTCTGCGCACATAAATGCAGAGCTAGAGCCCGTGTATGTCCTGTGTTTTCTCACTTGACATTTTGCAGTTGTTAATGCCTGCACGGGAGGACTTCCCCGTGCCCTCTCCACTTTCCTGTGGGTTCTCGGCTACTTCCTACCTCAGGCTGTCATTGTATTTGCTCCGCCGTTTGCTCCCTGTGTAAGGGGCCAAGAGTCCAGTACAAATGTATGTAGGTGCCAAGGGAAGGCAGATGTATTAGGAGGGGAGCAGGCCGTGCCCTCAGAGCCTCTCTGTGGTCCCAGGAAACTCTGGACTAGTCCCTTAACCTCTCCTTGGCCCCGTCATCCCCTCCCCCAGGGAGCGGACCCAGGACCGGGAGGACAGATGTCCAGCCGTCACAGGCCTTCTTACATCACAATCGTTGGAGCTGCCTGCCCCGGGCACAGACCTCTCACCTTGCACTTGAGCCGCACGCGCCAGGGCTCTGCGTTGCTCTTCAGTTGCCCTTGGCAGCCGCAGCTTCTCCAGCTCCAAGTGGGGGCAGTAAGGCCTGATGTAGGGGACTCCTGTGGTATTGAAACTTTCATTCCCAGTTTTTGCAACAATCCAGGCGGATTAGATAGTATCATCCTCATTCTGCTCACTGAAAATTTGACCGAAAAGGTCATGACTTGTCCAAAACACTGTATGTGGCTCAGAGTCGGCTCCTGTGCACCCCGCTCCCCGCACCAGGCTTTCTCACCAACAGCATGTCGACGTTTTGGACCAGATACTAACTTGGTGGTGGGGCCCTACGTTGTAGGATGTGGGGCGGCATCCCTGACTCCCCCAGATGTCCGTAGCAAACATACCTGCCCCCCCCTCCATGCACACACACACTCGGCTGTTGTGACAATCAAAGTGCCCTCAGACCTTGCCTTGAGGCAAAATCACACCTGGCTAAGGACCCCCATCCTACAGCAAGCCAGCTTTAAGGCTGCGAGCTCCGTGTGTTCATGTGTATAGTGCCAAGGACGGCACCCGCCTCTCGGGATGGTGGTGCCGTCTCGGCAAAGTAGATAGAGGTAGGAAGAACCGTGGCCCTGGGGACTGCTGATAACTACCAGCATCCGCTTCTCCAGCACACTGTGTGGACTCGCACTTTGTCTCACAGCTCTGGGCTTCCCCCACCTTCCTCACATGCCCTGATTTTCTCCAAATCTACTTCTTTCTGGATAGGTTTGTATGCAGTGAAAGTCCGAGCTGAGGCCATGCAGGAAGCTTCGGAAGCTGTCCCCAGTGGGATGTTGTCTGTCCTCGGCCAGCCTCAGTCCAAGTTCACCGTTGCGTGTTTGGAAGCCCAGGAGCACTGCAAGACTTTGGGCATAGAGAACCCCGTGTGCGAGGTGGCCAACTACCTCTATCCTGATTGCAGGGTGATCTCAGGACACCTGGAGGTTGGTGCTGATGGGAACAGCCTTCCTAAACCCCAGTCCGCAGAGAATGTTGGAACTGTCCCACCCACACTAGGAAGCCCATGGTGGTGTGATGGGTGCTCTGCCAAGCTGTGGTCTGTGGGAAGTATTTGAGGGCAAGGGGTGGGGCGAGCCCTGCAGAGGGAGGCAAGAGGCTGGGATGCCATCCCCACTGCACCATGCATAGGCCAGGCCCTTGAGCAAATCAGCCCGCCCTCCTAGAAGGTAAAGGGGTTGGACCAGATGATCCCCAGGGCCTTCCCATAGTAAATTCTGGGATTCTCACAACCTTTGGTTGCTCCCTTAGCAAAAGGAGGAGCCGTTCCTGCTAGGTTACTCCACCCCACTGTGCCTTGTCTTAGGGGTCTGCTTTTATCCAAGTTCAAGTTCTTTTTCTTTCCCTCTGTCCTTCCTTCCATTCACGCTTCCCTAGACATTTCTCAAGCAGCTCCTCTGTAACAAGCACTGAGGGGACATGGACCAATAAGCCAGGAACAGGTGACTGTGTGTTTGGGGCACAGTGGGGGTCAGGCTGGCTGCCAGGAGGCCTCAGGAGGTGACACCGGGAATGGTGTGTGGAGGGTGTGTTTGTGGGAAGGGGGTGTCCCCAGCAGGGAGGCCGCGACCAGCCGATGTCAAAGGGCAGCTGGGGCCTGGCCCCGGGATGCTGAGTGAGTCCATGCTGGATCCTGCACAAGGGGCTACAGCTGCAAGGCCCATGTCTACACCACTCAAGTCCTATAGGCCTTGCTCCCCGGGAGGGAGTCCCATGCATGTGTTACACACGAGGAAGCTGAGGCAGAGCGAGAGGCTAGTGCTTAGAGATGGTGGTGGCAGAACAGAGCTCCAGTCTGTCTCATTCTTCCTTGTCCACTCGACTGCACTCCGTCTCCCATCCCATGAGGCCTTGCCCGTCTGCCCAGCGTCTGTGTGAATCTCCTCGGAACCAGCGAGTCTCTCTTGTGACAGTCCTGAGAGGACGGGAAGATGGGTGACAGTGGCCCCACGCTGCTTGTGGAGCTCATTGCTCGTTCCCATTAATGGCCTTGGAAACCCCAGAAGTGGATGGGGAGGGGCCCCGAACCAGGGCTGGCATCTCCTCGCGCAGCCCCCGGACAGCTGGGCGTGCAGGTGAACGACCCCTCGGATTCTCAGCCTTTCCGTGCCAAAGCAAAAAGCTCAGGTTGAGGCCAGGGCTTCCCTAAGCAGGAGGGTCCCTTTGCAACCACGGGTGATGGGACAAAAAACCCTTGGCCTCTGCCTCCAGGGCCCTGAGGCTGTGGCCTTGGCCTTGACTCCTGTGGGCCCCGCCTAGGATGTGGGCAGGATGAGTCCAGAGGCCTTAAATGTGGAAAGCACTTGGAGATGCTGAAATGATGCGTTGGCCTCCTGCAGGGCGGGGCCCACAGAGACGGGTGAGCGAGTGCCATCCAGCCGGACATCCGAACCCTTCCTGCCCTCGGGGGGCACACGCAGCCCTCAGGGCACACGCAGCCATCCCGTCACATGGTTTTTCCCAGTGGACCTGGATGGGCTCGGCATACAAGACAATTGCTAACCGTCATGCAGCCAGAGTTTACCTTGATAACCTGTGAGATAACTAGGGTGCTCCCCCTTTTCTAGATGAGGGAACTGAGGCACAGAGAGGCAAGGCACAATCACCCCAGGTCAGGTAGCCGCTGGGACCTTGACTCACCTTCGGTGTTCCCGGGAACAGGGGGCCCAGCCCCCGCGCCGCTGCGGATGGTGACAGGCCAGAGACAGGGCCAGAGAGACGGCGACAGACAGATCAGCCACAGGAAGCCCTTCGGCGGGAGGGGCCATCTGGGTGGCAGGCCCCAGGCCGTGTCGTGGAGGCCTAGGGTCTCTTAAGAATATCTAATATTTTTTAAATATTTGTGAATTATGTTGTTTGCAAACAGGGCCAAGTTTGGGCCTCTTAGCCTGGGAGGCCCCGTCTGAGCTGAGACGCCCGTCACGGCAAGGCTTTTGGCTTCCAGGAGACAGAGCTCCTTTCTTCTCTAGAGTAAGCTCAGATGATGGGCTTCTGATCGAAAGACGCGAGGCTTGGAGTCTCCAGAATTTTCATCTCGAGGGTTACGGCGTAGTAAGAAAACGGGCTTGTTCGAAACCGTGAGGGGTGGCGGGCTTGTAACTGAAAACTCCCACTAGACCGTGTGTTCTCACGTTGTCAGACTCCTTCACACCTCCCGTCCCATCGCTTCCCAGCAACCCCGTGAAGCCGCCGAGATTGTGCTCGTTTTGTGGATGACAGACGGCGAGAGGCTGAGTGGGAGTGGGGTGCTGGGGTGGCCATGCTCCCCAGCCTCGGCCTTTCAGCCCCACCGGGGCCGCCTGCCCGGGTGGGCTGTGTGAACGGTCACGGCCCCAGAGGAGGACTTCTGGACCGCCGTGTACACGACTGGTGTGTACTGGAACAAAGAGGGGAAGGGAGCCCGACCTCGCAGCTGTCTGCGGGGTGAAGCGTGCCGATGTGCCCATAGCATCATCTGTCCCAGGACCGGGGCCAGTGGAGGCCGCCTCGCCGGGCGTTTCCTAAGATGTCCTTGGCTAAAACTTCCTTTCTTTGCCTTCTAGGCGCTGCAGTTCCTGCGGGAGAATTCCTCCAAGTATCACTTCAGGCGCGCCAAGATGCTGCCCGTTAGCGGAGGCTTCCATACCCGCCTCATGGAGCCGGCCTTGGAGCCCCTCGAACAAGTTCTAAAGTCGATCGGTGTCAGGAAGCCGCTGGTGTCCGTCCACTCAAACGTCGACGGGAACAGATACATGCACCCCAGACACATCCAGAAGCTGCTGGTGCGGCAGGTGGTCTCCCCGGTGAAGTGGGAGCAGACGATGCATGCCATTTACGAGAGGAAGAGGGGCACGGAGTTCCCCCAGACTTTCGAGGTGGGGCCCGGGAAGCAGCTGGGGGCCGTCCTGAAGGGCTGCAACCTGCGGGCCTGGAGGTCGTACCGGCACGTGGAGGTGCTGGAGGATGACGGGACCTAGACCAGGCCCCCGCCCCCACGCTGGGAGCTCCTGGTGTCTGGGGTGGCAGGGGCACAGCTTAGGAGGGAGAAGGGGACCCAGTTGGTGCTGCAGCGGGCCTGGACCTGCCCCGTCTGTCCCTGGGCCTCCTCGTCCAAGTGACTGGGAGGCACTGTTTGCAAAGTACTTTGAAGGCCACATAAAAAGCCTGAAAGCAAGTATTTCTTGACCTGCTGAGGTCTGTTTCTTCCCCTTAGATGTGTTCCAGGGCTGGGGGGGAAGCCGCAGCAGGGCCAGAAGAGTCCCAGGGACCCCGGAGGCAGACCTCATACCTCTGGGCTCCTTTGTAAAACAGGCTGAGACCACCTGGCCGGCAGGTGTGCTCAGGAGGCTGGGAAGGCTCAGCCTGTGGCCTGTCGCGTGCTACCCCATCACCACGTGGGGGCCACGGGCATACTGGCGTGGCCACCAGGCAGGCCAGTGCCAGAGGGGCCCCCACTGCCCCACGAGCCCATGCGCCCCCACAGCCGGAATCTCAGCCCTTTCGTCACTGAAAGCAAAGGGCTTCCAGACGTAGCTGGCCTTGGCGGCCATTCTGTCCACCCCACACTGTCGCTGGGAGACTCCATCCCGCACTGGTTTATCTTCCCAACAGCCAGTACTGAGCGCCTGCCAGCTACCTGTGAGGGAGTGGCCTCCCCCCTTGTGGGGGGAAGAGGTCCTTAGCCAGGCAGGAAAGGTTTAAGGAGGCTGGCTGAGGGCCCTGTTTCCCTGCGGACGGTGATCGCTAAGGGTCTGCTCCATGCCTTTGACCTCCCATGGCACAGCCACACCCCGGGAGTCGACGAAGGTTCTGGACATGTGCGGCTCCGCTGATAACAAGGAGAAGTCACGTTCTGGACATCTCGGTGGCTTTTTCACCCGTCAGCGATAGTGGGAAACTCGTCCAGGTGTGAGATCTCTGTGTTTGTCCATAAATGTTGGCTGTGGTGTGGACACCTGTCAAATCCGGGGTAGGTTTCGCATTTTCAGTTCTGCAGGGTTTCTCAGCATGGACGCCGTCAGCCTCCGCACAGAACTGGCCTTCGTTGCATGGGACCGTCACTCACAGCGTGGGCCACTGTCCTGGCTCCCGGCCACTCTGCGCCAGGAGCCCTTCCAGATGTCATGACCTCCCCACATGCCCACGTGTGTCCACAGCCCTGGCCAAGAGCCCTGCATAGGACGAGGGAAACTGATCTTTCCCATGGCCTGAGTCTGTGTTTTCTGGAGTTCAGTGGAGAACGATCTCTTAAAACTTCCATTTAAGAAATTTTCAAACATTCACAGAGAAACTTGCTATTATTATTTTTGGTGGGCAGCAAAGCGAAGTTCGGGGAGTAGTACAGAGCTCCCCAAGAGGGAGGGGACCCAGAGGGTTGCCCGAACCTTGCTATTATTTTTAAAGAGTGCAGGGTCTGTGGGAACCCTCTTCCGAGTGCTGCGGTAGCCGGCGACCCTGGGACTCTCTGTAGTCTGGGCTCGGGTGCTCTGGCTGTGCTGTGGGCAGGACAGCATCGCAGTCACACTCTGCAGAGCACGGTCCCACGTGAGGGAGCCCCAGAGGAGTGGCGGAGGGTGAGTGTTCCCGCGTGGCAGGCCTTTCTGCTTCTCTGGGCACGGCTCTTCTCAGGGCCCGGCCAGGCTCCAGGCCAGAAGAGGGAGAAGGAACAGCAATCAAAGGGCATAGGGTGCTGCCTTGAGGTTGGTTCCAAAAAGCTGACGACCGTCTCTGCCAGCACTGCAGGGGCCGCCCAGCGGGGGAACCCAAAGGTGCGGGCAGGCAGTGCTCACCTCCACTGTGGGAGCCCTGGGTGGGGTAGATGGGCCCTCGCCCTCCCCACCCCTGCAGACTGGGTGAGTGGCAGAAGCACGGGGTGGGGAGGGGAGTTCTGGGGGGAGCCCAGGGCCCGGGGCGAGGGCCTGTTCCTTGGTAGCATCTGCCCCCTTGAGGAGACCACCCCGCGCCACCATCGTTCCCATGGTGCCGGCCCGCCCCGAGGTAGGAATCACAGCTGCTCCCACGTTTGTGTCCCACGCCCGTGGAGACCCTGGGCCCGTTTCTCTTCCCAGCGGCTTGCCTCCCTCAGCCAGCCTAGACCTGGGTGCCTGGAAGGAGTGGGTTTCCCTAGGCACGTGCTCTCTGAGAATCAGCTCTTGCCTCCTCATCTCCAGAAATCTTGACTGGACCAAGGGCCGTGATCAAAAGCCTCTAAAACCTCGAAGATGATGGGCCCCTCATGCCCCCACAGCCTTGTCACCTCCTCTGGGAAGGGGCTTCAATGTTTCCAGCGGCCTCCACCCCAGGCCCCCAGAGGGTAGGGGTCTGTGTCCCACCCCCCAACCCGTGGCAGTGCCCCTGGGCCCCGCTGCAGAAGGGCCACAGGAGATGGAAGCATCCTGGGCCGATGGTCTAGGGATCATGAGGCTGCTGGGTGACCAGGTCACCCCTGCCCCCTTCCTAGGAGGGATGGGCCTCCAGTCCTTCCTTTTTGGGGTTGGATGATTTCCGCTATCGCTGTTGCTAAACACCTGTTTGCAGCTTGTGGAAGTTGCCATGCGGATCAGCCAGGCTGGGTCTGACCATGACCCTTTCCCCATCTGGGCCTTGGTCTCACCACCCCCCACAGGCTGGACTGGAAGGCATCAGTGGGCAGAAGATCCCAGGCTGGTTGGGGTCAGAGGACCCCAGTGCCACTCTGGTCTGACCCCTTTCTTCTCTGGGCCTCAGTTTCTCCCTTGCAGGCTGGGCCGTCTTGAGCAGATCAGTCAAGTGCCAGTTCCACGTCGGCTTTGCAGGTCAGGAGGCTGCCACTCGTGTGGGGGTGCAGAAACTGGCAAGCTCCTCACGGCCCCAGGGGTGGGCATGAACAGACAAAGACAGTCGATCAGACTCCAGCCCAAGCTGGTTTACCCACCCTCATGCTCAGGCAGGTCTCCCACCCCAGGGCCTTTGTATGTGCTGCTCCCCCTAGCACTAAGGAGGACACTTACCTATCCTTCATTCTCTCCACAGCTAGCTCCACAGGCCTGGTCCTCCGGTCTCACCCACCCCACCCCCCATTTTCTGTCCTTTATTGCTCTCAGAACACAGCCCCCAGTTCTTAGCTTCTTTGTGTGCTTTTTATTTATTTATTTATTTATTTATTTATTTATTTTTAAAGATTTTATTTATTTATTTGACAGAGATCACAAGTAGGCAGAGAGGGAGGAGGAAGCAGGCTCCTTGCTGAGCAGAGAGCCCGATGCAGGGCTCGATCCCAGGACCCTGAGATCATGACCTGAGCCGAAGGCAGAGGCTTTAACCCACTGAGCCACCCAGGCGCCCCCTTTGTGTGCTTTTTAAATAGAATGTGAGATTTGAGGGACCATTATCTCCACAACCCCAGAACCTGTGGCCAAGCTTAGCAAAGTAGGGGCTCCTCTGACATCCATGGGTGGGAAGAATGTTGCAAACCCTAGGACACTTGGGGAGAGGGTCCCCAGATTCCTGCCGAGAGAAGACATGGCATCAGCATCTCCATTCCCTCCACTCTGAAGAGCCCCAAGCTCCTTGAGAAGCCGCGGGCAGCCCCAAGCACACTGAGAAAGGGGTGGGCACATGGGCAGTTTGACCCGAGTGCATGGGAGCAAGCTGCTCCCGGGTGGTTAGGGAGGACTTCCTGGAAGAGGTTCATCTGGGTTTGGCCTCCCCACATCCCCAGCTACGGATTCTCCAGTGGATCCCCAGGGCCTAGGGGTCAGTGCAGCCACACAGGAAAGCCCTGGGTCACTTCCAGGTCTATAAACTTGGTGGGTATCTGTACAGGGGTGGAGTGTCCTTTGGGTGGAGCAGGATGTCAGGATGGAACATTCCCAGCAAGGACCTGGGAACGGCAGGCTCTGGGCTCGCCCTGTGAGGCTTGGGGAGGGCCTGACATAGCCCCACGGGACCACTTACACAGGAAAGGAGGTGAAGTCAGGCTGTGAAGGGCCAGACTCTGGAGCACTGTGACATGGAAAGCCCGGTCGTGGCTGGGAGGGTCCCTTCAGTCGCGAAGGGTCAGAGGGGGCAGCTGGGAGCGGGCAGGACCTGACCGGCCGGGCTGGAGGGTAGTGAGTCACTGTCTGCTGCATCAGCTCTGGGGCTGAGTGGAGGGCAGGGAAGGCTCTCCGAATCCAGGACCTGAAGGGGACAGGGAGGAGGCTGCAGAAGGTGGGGACTCACCCCAGCCCGGGGTTGGCTCTTGAGATAGGGGGACTGTTGGGGCGGGGTGGGAGGTCAAGGAGTCAGAGCTCTAGTTCTGGAGAGAGGGCCTGACGGGGTCTAGGAACAGCACTAGGCCCAGGTCTGGGGCCGGCTGAGCCCGCGCGGTGGGTGCCCCTAGTCTAGCCCCTTCTCCCCAGCACAGCTGTGTGAGCGGCCCCCCAGGCTGCACTGCTCCAGCAGGGAGTGCTGGATGAGCAAATGTGGGGAGGGGAGGCAGCCCAATTATAAGAGCCTGACAGCCCAAAGGAAATAATCCCTAATGGTACATCTCAGGCACGAGGCAAGACAAGAGGCGGCGTAAACCTGATTGTGTCGGGCCAAACTTCATGACAGCAGGTGCCGGGAAGAGCCCGCAGGTGTGTGATCACGCACAGGTGGCTGGGCGCCCGCCCTGCCCCTTCTCTCCCCTCCCCCTTGATTCTCGCGCTGGGGGCAAGAGGCAACCCATGCGACAAACCCCCAGAGAGGACCAGAGACCAGCTGGAAACCAACATTTTATTGAGCTCTCCTCACCCCTCAGAAATCTATTCCAGCAGATTTTCTCTTTGCCCCGGGGCATCACAGACATGGGGGTGTGGCCAGCACTCCCCCCACGGCCCGCCACAGGGCCCCCCAGCAAGAGGAAGGCTCCTTCCCGGGACAGGCCACCACACGTGGGCTGGGGCCAGGAGAGCAGGCCCAGCCAGGCCTTGGCACGGGCAGTTAACCAGCAACGACCCCAGAGGTATAATGAATTCATTTCTCTTACAAAAAGAAAAAGAAAAAAACTAGTATGAAACCTCAGTAGTGTCCCAGCACTCCGTTTTAAATATATAAAAGGCATCATCAGAAAACCGTTAAAAAGACAACAAACCCAACAAGGCCACCGCCAGGGTGGCGGCCAGGGGGGGCGAGGCCAGCCCCGCCCCCCGCCCCAAGCAGCAGCTGGCGTCACTGGAGGACCTGAAGGCCCCAGCCTAGCAGCAGCACCACCAGCAGCAGCAGGGACAGCACCAGCCCGCGCCCGGGGTTGGGGGACACCTGTGGGATGAAGGGGGGAGAGGTGAGGCCCTCCAGCCCGGAACAGGGGTGTCTTCTTCCATGGCTCCTTCTGTGCCCGCTCTGTGGACACAGGGTTGAGCCCGTGAGGCTGAGGCCGGGGTGGGGAAGGACGAGTCAGGGAAGGTGGGGGACGCAGGAGCATCTCCAAACCGGACGGGTCGGGGACAAAAACCAGGAAGAGCAGCACAGGCAGGTGGGGCGATGGCCAAGGACGCGACAGAGGACAGAGGACAGAGGAGGAGAAGCCAGCCCACCCAGGATGCTCATCGGCTGGGGACGGTGGGAGCAGCTTCGGGAGGGACCATCCCCGGCGCTGGTGGGAGGGAGGAGGAGTGGTCAGGAAAGCGGCTCAGGAGCAGATGAGTGAGGAGCCGGTCCCTTCGCCAGCGGAAGGCATTCCCAGGGGAGGGAACAGCAGGGAACAGGCATGGAAGCAGCCAAACACATTGAAGAGTTCCAGCACCGAGTCCGTGAAGCACAGGTCTCAAAGCCCGAGCCCAGCAGAAGGGGGGAAGCGGGCAGGACGACAGGGAGGGGTAGGGTCTGCGGCATCCCGCCACTCCAGAGCTGCGAGCAGCACCGTGTACAGGAGTTAAGTCAATCTCAAGGTTTAGTTACCCTGTTCCTGAAGGTCAGGAAGCTCCAGATCCGTATGTGCTCCCTGAGGTTAGTGAGACCATCCACGAAACTTCGGAGAACACCTCTCAGGCCCATCTGGTTGTAGGTAAAAGCCAAGCTGTGACAAAGGGGAGGGGGAGCAGGGCCATTATTGCGGGAACAGGGACAGGGCTGCAGCCTTTCCTTTAGGGGACCCCTGTGGGGAGAAGAGGGCTGTGTCCCCCCCACACACACTGCCACTCTGTCCCCTTGCTCTGGTGGCTCCGCCAACGAGTGTCTCTCTCCACAGTCATCTGATTTCCTGTTTCCTTCTTCCACCCACCAGTCCACGGGGGTTTGGTCTGGGGTTCTGAAGCCGGCCATGGGGAAAAGGCTCCACTGTTCACAAGCCCAAGAAAGCAGGTCCTTCCCCCTGGAGGACCTTGCTCTGATGGAGGCCTGGGCACCCCAGCAGAAGGCTGCCTCTCTGGGAACCAAGAGACCACACTGCTGTGCCCCGAGGTGGGCTCGTACACCCCCAGCCTGAGTGGTCCTGTGAGCATCTGGAAACCCACAGAGATTCTGGCCAACCATGAAAGTACAGTGGGCTCGGGACAGAGGCCACCAAGCAGGACACACAGCTCCACTGAGCTCACCACCTTCCTGTCAGCATTTTAAGTTAAGACCCTTTGGGAAAAGTTCGGTCTTGGCTTGATGAAGCAGCAGAGAAAAGCACTTGGGTTCTGCTGTGCTGCCGCGGTGCAGGGGATGGGGACTCCTGGCGGAGGGATGCAGGGCTGCCCGGGAGGGGAGCGGAGCGGTCTCCTCCCAGGGCCTGGGGCCACCCACCTGTGCACAGCCATCCCGGGCAGCTCGCCAATGCGAGGCAGCGTCCATCTCACTTCCATCTCGTCCCCGATGAAGGCCAGCCGCATGGCCACATCGTCGGGGTTGCTGCTGCGGGAGGGCATGGAGAATTAGGGGTGTAGCTGTGCAGTGACGCCCCACATACCTGGGCCGGCCTGGCAGATCGGGCCCCAGGTTTCTGGGAGGCAAGGTGTGGCACAGAGCGAGGTGGGAACCTTCACGCACCCCTCCTCTGGCTCCTGCTTTGCTTCAGAAAAGACCAGCAAGGTCCCATCCCTGGGGGGACTGCACTCCTCTCGTCTTGTGGGAGGGCAGAGACACATGCAGGGCCCGTGAACAGCAGATGCGCCTCCCTGTCACAGCCTTCCTCTCCCTCCAAGCAACACTGAGGGTTGGGGAGCCCTGGGAGAGGCCACCCACCTGGAGGCTTGCCAGGAAAGATGGCAAAGGTGGGCAATGGGGCTGGGCGTGCTGGGGCTCCCGAACCCCCCGGAACTGGGACTGGTTTCCCACAGGGTCTCGATTTTCCCTCCTCCTCATGGGGAGGGATTCTAGGACCTGTTCCCTGCGCCCCCAATCGTGAAACCACCTGTTGTCATCACCCTTTTCAGAAGGGAGGGGCTAACCAGTTCCCTCCTCTCACTGACCGAATCCTGGATGGGAAGGAGGTCCGCGCACTCACACCTGACCTCCAGATCCTACAGCCTCCAGACTGGCTTCAGTCCTGCTCTCAGGGCTTTGCCCACATTTCATCTGGGAATTTCCAAGTGGACAGGCATCCCAGTGGCTCCCAGCTCAGCCCCAGCCACCTGCCCAGTCTCTCTGGGGTCCGTGCTCTCTAGTCCAGAGGTGCCGGAAGGTTGGATGGGAGGCTGGGGAGGTCTGGCTGGCAATCCCAGGTGGGGGACTGAGGTCCCACCTCTATCTCAATACCCCGTGGGACCTCAGGAAGACACTGCCCCACGCTGAACGTCCCCTGTTGTCATCTCCAAGTGGAGCAGGACAGGGCAAGAGGCAGATTTTCAGGTCCCTCCAGCTCTAAAATCCCAGCCAGCCCCAATCCCCAGGTCCAGACCCTAATGCCTAAGAGATTCCTGAGACCTAAAGCAGAAGGGAAGCACCTGGAACCTGGGGCCGGCCCTGGGAAGATCCCCTCTTCACTGTCCCGGCAGCCTGGACCCCAGACCCTGTGTGTGAAGAGGCTTCCTCAGGCTACTTCTGATTTTCTAAAATTAGAACCATCTCATCAAGAGGCCTTGATGAGACATCATGGTCAGTGAGGGTCAGGCGATACCCAGTCCTAAAGCCAGAGGTTTAAGCCATTTTGGCGGCAGTGCCCAAGGTCCATCCTGGGAATATGCTGGAACCCGAGGGCCTCTGTGGGCTGACAGCAGTGCCAAGGGGCCGCGCCCGGGGCACTGGCCTCCATGAGCACACCTGGGGAATTTCCGCCCTGGGGCCCTGCTCTTCCAACTGCACCCCCAAGGTCACTGGCCAGAAATGGGAGTGGGTGGGGCCCGCGGAGTGTTGCTAGGACCTACCTGTTAGGGGAGGGCCCTGGATCATAGTACTCCACAAGATCAGTCATGCCAGGGACCTCCAGCACTTCCGGGCCATGCTCCTGCAGAAAGGTGCTCAGAAAGAGGTTCCTGGAAAGGGATCCCGTGTGGGACATTTCTTCTCTGGGGGAGAAGAAAGACAGAAAGACAGAGACTGAACCCTCGTTCATCGAAGCCAACTGTGGCTCTCCTGCTCACTTTCCCAGCATGCCTTGCAGCTGGTGGTGGGAATGCAGCCTGGTTCTGGGAAATGGGGTCTCAGAGTTCTGACATAAGGGTTTTAGCCAGGGCAGCTCCTCTCCCCGCTTGCTGCCTTCAACACAGGAGGAAAGGCTGGAGCTGCAGCAGCCACTTTGTGACACCAAGGTGCTGAACATAAGGATAACCAAGACACCAAGAAAGCAGAGGAGAGAGGGAGGGAGCCTGGCTCTCTGATGGCCTTCCCGAACACTTGTATTTTTGCAAGTCATGGCCACCCTCGCTGTGTAAGAAAAGTAACACCCAACTCAGTGAGTTTCCAGTTCCTTGCAGCCAGAGCCTCTCCTATTACAACCGTGGATTCCCACGTCAGAATGGTTCCCATCATCCCGAGATAGCAGGGTAGGAGAGTCCGTGACCGAGGTCACCACAACTTAGCCCACACCATACCGAACAGACTTAGGGCTAGAATATAATGGCGAATATGGAACCCACAGACCTGAGCTCAAATCCCAGCTGTCACTTAGCACCTGTGTGATGCTGAGGGACCTCTGCACGTCAACCCACTGTCTTATTGTCCTGGGCTCTTAAAAATTCTGCAATTCTTCACATTAGCCTGCTCTGAGTGGATAGGACCCTCTCATTATCTTGTTGGATCCCTAACCTTCAAGGCTGGTATTCATTAAGATGAGACCTGGAAAAGTTCATGATGAAGCCAAGAAGGGCCAGAGCCAAGTCCCCCTGCTCCCCAGGCCAGGGTGGACAGCGTTCACATTTGGCAGGACATGCACAGGTGCCCGCTGGGGACGCGGGGTGTAGGCGAGAGTGTGCACACTACGTGCTTTCCCCATTAAAGGGTGGTGACTGGAGACGCAGAGCCAGAGCACAAGCTCATGGGGGCGCAGAGATAAGTGCGGACCCTCCAGGTATCTTGGGACGAGACGAGACAGGATAGTCAACAGGGCATCCAAAACACGATCAAGAAAAATGGACACGCTGCGATGTCATCGAGGGCACAGACAGGTATTTGAGGGTCTGGGGTCTTTGAGAAAGGGTATAGAAGAGCAGCACTGTTCCGGAGAGAATATGTGCCCAGAATTTGTCTCAAGAGGGCGGTTTCCATTTCCTAAGGGAAAGCTGGTAAAGTCTCAGGTCTGTTCCAGATGAAAGCCCACCTTGAAAGACAAGCTCTAGCGAGAGTGAGGGCTGGAGAAATCAGACATGTAAACACAGTCACAACAGCCACGAAAGGCCTGTGGCCTGACATACGCCACCCGCACCTGTGAGGGCCGCGCCTTCCCCTGCAGGGTCCTGGCGGTGGCGGGGGTCTGACCACCTGCTGAGGGCAGCACCTGCGGGCAGGGTTGAAAAGCTGCAGGCCTGAGACCCGGCAACGAAGCCCCCTCCAAAACCAACAGACCAGCATGAACCAGAACCCCACGGGAGGATCAGGTGGCATTTCTAAAAACCCTCAAATGCCGATAGCAACTTTACTGCAGCACAGGTACTGCTGGGAGCGCGTAACCCTTCTACCTCCATTCCAGATCGCTAGGCAGTAGTTAAAAGCTATGACCCCAGCCCTAGGGACCCACCTCCAGCCACCCCCTAGGCGCTGACACCCTACCCAGCCGTCAGACTTCAGTTGTGCTTGTTTAAAAACAGAAAAAGGAGGGCGCCCAGGTGGCTCAGTCGTTAAGTGTTTGCCTTCGGCTCAGGTCATGATCTCAGGGTCCTGGGATCAAGCCCCACATCGGGCTCCCTGCTCAGTGGGGAGCCCGCTTCTCCCTCTCCCACTCCCCCTGCTTGTGTTCCCTCTCTCGTTGTGTCTCTCACTGTCAAATAAATAAAATCTTGAAACATAATAATAAGGGGCGCCTGGGTGGCTCAGTTGTTAAGCGTCTGCCTTAGGCTTGGGTCATGATCCCAGCATTCTGGGATCCAGCCCCACATCGGGCTCCCTGCTGAGCGGGAGGCCTGCTTCTCCCTCTCCCTCTGCTGCTCCCCTGCGTGTGTTCCCTCTCTCGCTGTCTCTGTCAAATAAGAAAATAAAAATTGAAAAAATAGTAGTAATAAAATAATAAAAATAGAAAAGGGAGCCTCCACACAGGAGAACAGTGCGGGGTCAGGGCAGCGGCACCAGCACAAACAGCAACAAGCTGACTTCAGTCAGCAAGTTGGAGGAAGCCACTCTAAGAATAAAAGACAGAGAACATTCAAGCCACCAGAGAACATGTGATCAGTTTGATGAGGCAGAAGAGGATTTCTAGCAGACATGCAATGAGCCTTTATGCAGAAAACACAGAATCACCTTTTGTACTTTTTAAATAAGATTTTATCTATTTATTTGAGAGAGAGAGAGCAGGTGCATGTGCACTAGCGGGGGGGAGGAGAAGAGGGAGAAGCAGGCTCCCCGCTGAGCAGGGAGCCCCTGTGGGACTGGATCCCAGGACCTGAGCCAAAAGCAGACGCTTAACAGACTAAGCCTCCCAGGAGTCCTGAGAATCACTTTTTGGAACCACCAAGAGTTTCAAGGTTGCCAGATACCAGATGGACATATAAAAATCAATAACCACAAGGCAACCAGAAAATACGGTAGCAGACAGACTACGCACGTACAGGTACAGAGGCTTTCATCAGGAATGAAATCTGATTTTTTTTTTTTTTAATGCTCTGGGGCACCTGGGTGGCTCAGTGGGTTAAAGCCTCTGCCTTCGGCTCGGGTCAGGATTCCAGGGTCCTGGATGGAGCCCTGCATCGGGCTCTCTGCTCAGTGGGGAGTCTGCTTCCCCCTCTCTCTGCCTGCCTCTCTGCCTGCTTGTGATCTCTATCAAATAAATAAAATCTTTAAAAGAAAATGCTTTAAAACTTACAGAGAAAAACATAAAACTCTATTGAAGGATTTAAAAGGTATAATGGAGCCAGACAGAAACTGTGACACTGCACAGGGAGTGCACGCTGGGGGTCTGGGTGCCCTTGAGCTCCAAGGGTAGCATTTAAGGATTAGGGACAGAGCTCCCACCTCTGTTGCCCCCAGGCCCTAGGGGGCTTGATAACTATGCAAATGGAAATTTCCCAGGAAAAGCAGTCCCAGCCCTCCTTTGTATGCGCCCCCTGGCCCCCTTGGCCCTCCACACCAGCCCCAGGCTCTGGGCCTGGACGTGGCCTCGGAGTCTCCCTTTGACCTATGGTCCAAACATCCCTCGGCCTCCAGCAGAGACAGTCCCAGAATCCCTGGACACCAAGTGGGAATGGGGCCCGAGATCCGTGTCTGACAAGCCCCAGGGCTGGGTGAGTGGTGGGGTGGTGCCTCCCCCATACACAGCTGGGAGGATCCTGCGTGGGTTAATCTTCTAACCCAACCACTCACTTGAGCTGCAGTGGGAATCTTGGGCGAGGCCTCCAGTTTCGTCCGTTAAATGGGAAGAATAATCCCAAACTAATGGGGTTCATTTTTCTGGTAAGAACCAGCATCAACCACCTGTTCTGACCCTGGCTGAGGTTTTTAGCACCCACCTCATTGGGCCCTAATCCAAGCCCTGGGTAAGGTTCTCACAAAAGACTGACCAGCCGGGCCTGGGCTGGCCTTGGGGCTCAAGGTCTGAGTGGGAGAAATCAGAATGTGGCCACAGAGCTGGCGTCAAGGTCCCTGCAGCCGGCCCACCACGCCATGGCAGGCCAGCGCCGGTCCCTTCCTGTCCAGCTCTACTGCGGCTGCCCGGTCTCCAGTCCCCGCTGGACCCTCTCCAATCTGACCTGGTCATTGCTCCACTCGGGGGTCGTGTCATGCTACTATCAGGGCCCTTTTCCCCTGGCCACCTCCCCAGCCCCAACCCTGCCCAACCCCATCTCAGCCCCTGCTCCCACCGCACTCCAGGTGCGTGCTTCTGTGAGCCGAGCGCGGACAGGTCAGGCCCCCACCCCTGCTGCTGGCCGACCATCCTGTCCCCTTTGTCCACGCCCTCCTATTGGTCACCAAGGAACTCAGCCCTGGCCCTGCCTTCCTAGCTCACCTGGGCCAGGCTGGGGGGCTCCCCCTCCCATCTCTAACCGACCCCACGGTGGGGTGCTCTTTCTTCCTCTGTGGTAGCTTAGAGCATGGACACTCTCTGTACCCCCCCCACTTCTTCCCTTCCACGTGAGGATACTAGGAATGCACCTCCCCGGGAGCTGTGAGGACGTGATGGAAACTGTCTTAGCGCCCCCACACCCCGGAAGGCAACAAACCAGGAGCTGCCAGTGTAACTCGGCTCCAGCCCCCAGCCCACAACACAGAGCACGTTTGTCAAATGGCCCAACATGGCCCAGCACCGAGGAAGCTGCCGGCCGCGGAGCCCACACTGCTTTGAAGCATCTAAGCATCTTTTTTTTTCCCCCCAGCAGATTTGCAAATAAGCAGTTTCAGACCATTCTTGGGTGAAAGAAGGCTCACCTAGCCGGTGTCCCCACCCCGGCTGCAGCCCACGCGTGCACCCGCCGACACACTCTGTGGAGAGAGCCCACGGGGGCGCCTGGGTGGCTCAGTCGGTTAAGTGTCTGCCGCGGGCCTGGGATCAAGCAAGCCTCAGTCAGGCTCCCTGACTCTCAAATAAGTAAAATCTTAAAAAAAAAAAAAAAAGCCGTCAGGAACACGCTCTTACCCACAGAGCTCAGGATGCCCACCCCGCCTCTGGGCAGAAGAAAGTCGCCTGCACAGCCACAGGGACACCTGTGGGGGCTGGGAGATGGAGAGAGGGGCCAGGCTCCCAACCTCCTGTGTGCACTTTCCCATGACGTTTGACCTCCCCCCACATGTAACAGCGTGGGGACAGGTGCATACTCTTTCTCCCCCAGCCCAGCCTGTGTGTTCCTGCATGCTGGCGGCCAAGCAGGAACAGCTGGTGACACCTGGGGGCTCCAGCAATAGCACCTGGTCCCTAAAGTCCTGG